GATTCTCTTGTATCGGTTATGCATGAACGTAGTTATCCCCTCAAGAGCTTTGGTGATGTTTGCTAGTTGTTCCTCCACCGAAGCTGCGTTCGTCGTCATAACGGGCATGACTGTGTAGCTGTGAGTCAATTCCGATGACGTCTTCTGCAGAGCTGATGATTGAGATGTAGGAGACGAGCTACCGCTGCTAGGGGCTCCTTTTGGGGGAGTCATACTCTTGCTGCTGGGAGTTCCTTTTGTGGTAGTAGGGCCCATATGACTCTTGTACCTGCAATGGATTCAAATTGCCTGCAAAATAAAAAAAAAATGCCTTCAAATCTTCAAACGTTCTTCAATGCCTTCAGGCTCTTCAAATGCTCTCAACTCCTTTAAGTCTTCAAGTTGTTCAATGCCTTCAAGCTCTAAGCCTTCAAGTTCTTCAAGCTTTCAAGTGTGTTTTGGAATGAAAATGAAGGCCCTATTTATACTAAAAGCTTAACCAAAATTCCTCAACCAACCCCCTTTTTAGTTAACTAATTAATTAATTAATTAGGAAAATGAAGCTTGTCCAAGATCAAGTCCAGGTTCATTATTGTATAATCTAATTCAAATTCAAATTAAATTATAATTATCTAATTCAAATATAATAAAATTAATATTATATTTAAATTATAATTATAATTTAAATTCAAATTGAAGTGGGCTTGGGCCAACTAATCAATTAATTCAATAGCCCAAATCAAATTCTAATTGGGCTAATTAAATTAAATTAATTTATATGATCCAATTAATTAAATTGGCCCAACATTTAACCTCAACACGGTCCACCGACCATTTATCAGTCCATTTGTTGGATTCAAATTTTCTGTGTCTACAATATTGGTCATTATGTAATTTTTAAAAAACAAAAAAAAAAAATCCTCCATGAATCTTTATATATACATAATGGATTGAAACTGTCACTTTTAACATAATTAATAGAAAAAATTTATATATAATAATAATTCATGAACTGAGTCTACAATTTAAGTATAACTAATGAACTAAAAAAGTAATTTTCCTAAAAATAAATTAACATTTTATATCCACCAAGCTATTTATTCCTTCAATAATGAAATCTCCTCTTATGTAAAGAACAATGGTGGAGTAAAAAAACTAGGGGGAGCCAAATTAATTTTTTAATTAAAATTTGGATTATTATTGAAGAAAAATATATACTTTTAACTACATAATTGTCATTAAAATAATAATTATGCATATATTTAAGATCTTATTTGTTTATTTTTAAATGTGCTCAATTAATTGTATGTAATTATTTTGAACTTGACCAGTTGTTTTTAATTTTTTTATTACTCCATTATATTATATTAGTAATAATTTAATTTAATTTTCTTTTTGAGACCCTAATTTAATTTTTAAAAATTTTGAAGGGGTCAAAATATATATTAACACATCTATCATACATATAATATAATAACTACATACATGCGAAAAACTGTTACATATATATTTATATATTTATTTATTTATATTTTATATTTTATATTTATATTTATATTTATATACATGTATATCATGTGTATGTGAGGGAGACTGGGAGAGAATAACAATAATAATAATAATAATAATAATAATAATAATAATAATAATAATAATTATTATTATTATTATTATTATTATTATTATTATTATTATTATTATTATTATTATTATTATACAAATACATATTTATATTATATTTATTTTCCCACTTATCCCACATCGGTTGGAGAAGTAAGGAATGGAGTCTTGAGGCTCCTATAAAAGGAGCCTCAAGGCTCCATAATTTCAATTTCAATGCTTATCTGTTAGGTAAGCTTGCAATGCCCATCCGCTAGACATGTAGATGGGCAGGCTACTTAATTTAAGAGTCAAGGCTCCATAATTAAGGAGTCTTATACAGTTAATTTATATATATATATAGAATCGCACTCATGTGAGAATGGTTCGCCCACGCGCGAAATAGAAATGGATTCTGTTCGTCCACGTGTCGAGATCTAATGGATGAGAAACACTGATTTTTTTAAAAAAGCGCGGTGGTATTTTCGTAAATAATTGAACATCGAAGTGCAAGTAAAATGTATTACAAGTGCATATAAAATGTATTATAGGTGCAAGTAAAAAATTTACACTGAGCATCAATACTAACTTCACCTATAGTTATAAGTAGTTGCACATATAGTTATAAGTAGTTGTACACATAGTTATAAGTAGTTGCACCTAGGTGCATGAATGTTTGCAGGTGGTTTTCAAGAGTATTACTACCCGCTGAAATCAGATCAATGAAAGTTAACAAGGCAAAATTACATGCACTTATAGGTGAAAATAGGTGCACCTATAGTTATAAGTAGTTGCACCTATAGTTATAACTTATAAGTAGGTGCACCCATGTGCATGGATGTTTGCGGGAAGTGAATGTTAACAAAACAAAATTACATGCACTTATAGGTGAAAGTAGGTGCACTTGTAAGTGGTTTTACTTGCACTTCGATGTTGAATTATTTACGAAAAATGCCACAGCGTTTTTTTAAGCTATTATATCTGGACACGTGTCACGTGTTGATTCATTCGCATATTCCTTCCTGGGCACTTATTCGCACCTGAGTGCATCCCTATATATATATATATATATATATATATATATATATATATATATATATATATATATATATATATTTATTTATTTATTTATTGATAGATTGATGGATAAAAATTATAATTAATTAAATATATACATTTATATAATACATTATATTTATAAAATAAATATAAATATTATATAATGTGCACAGGGTACTTTTGGTATTTACGATATAAAAGCTATTTCCAATGGCATGGGAATAGCTAATACCAAGGCTCCCCCATGAATAGCTATTCCCCTTGCGAAGATAATAGCTCATTCCTAGGCATGTTATTCCCATGACAAAATGATCCAACCAGACGATGGAATAGGTCTATTCCAAGGAATGTTATTCTATTCCTGACCTATTCCATAAACCAAACATGCCATTAGGGAAACGAGCGCATGGCTTCACCCGCCACCCACTAACTCCGATCTATCTCTGATCTGTCACTAGCGAAGAACCTCTAAATGAAGTGTATTAAATATTTGATTATTTTATTGTTTCTTTTTTTTTTTTTTTTTTTTTTTTACATAAAGGGAAAAAATTGTTAACCCGCCCGCCACACCCTAACTTCGATCCGACACTAACAAAGAACATTTAAATGAAAAGTATTAAATATACATTAAAATGATTGATTTTAATTTATTAATTTTTTTATATTTTTTTTACATAAAGGGAAAAAATGGTTGCCCAACCACCTACCAACCCCTAATATAATTCTGATCAGCCACTAGAGAAGATCGTCTAAATGAAGAGTATTAAATGCACATTAAAATGCTTAATTCTTTTTTTTTTTAAATATATAAAGAGAAAAATGGTTGCTCATGCTCCCCATCCCCTAACTCCGATCTGTCACTAGCGAATAACGTCTAAATGAAGAGTATTAAATGCACATTAAAATGCTTGATTCTTTTCTTTTTTTTTTTTTTTAAACATAAGGAGAAAAATGGTTGCCCTTGCTCCTCATCCCCTAACTCCGATCTACCACTAGCGAAGAATGTCTAAATGAAGAGTATTAAATGCACATTAAAAGGCTTGATTTTTTTTTTAAAACATTCTTCCAAAAGGCTGAACCCCAACCCTAAGGGCCCCCCACATCCCGACCCGACAGAGCATTTGGGAGGATGTTAATCATGGTAACTCAACTGAATATGAACCACAGAGACTAGACCGTGCTCACTGCGCACAAGGAACCCCCTCACTTTTTTTTTTAAAACATAAATAGATAAATGGTTGCCCTTGCTCCCCATCCCCTAACTCCGATCTACCACTAGCAAAAAAGGTCTAAATGAATAGTATTAAATGCACATTAAAATGTTTGATTTATTTATATATTTATTTTCATAAAGTGAAAAAATGGTTGCCCTCCGCTGCCACCCCTAACTCCAATCTGCTACTAGCGAATATTGTCTAAATGAAAATTATTATTATTATTATTATTATTATTATTGTTGTTGTTGTTGTTGTTGTTGTTGTTGTTATTGTTGTTGTTGTTATATAAAGGGAGAAAATGGTTGCCTCCCACCTACCAACCCCTAATTCTGATCAATCACTAAAGAAGAGCGTATAAATGAAGAGTATTAAATGAACATTAAAATTTTATTTAGTTTTTATTTTTTTATTGTTTTAGATAAAGAAAAAAGTAGTATTTTTTTTAAATTGTTAAATCGAACCAAGAGATCATTGATCTAATAGATAAATATATTAGTTTTTAATAATAGATATATTTGTATGGAGTTGATCTTCTGTGTGATTGCCTCACGTGTATTTTTTTTTTTTTTTTTTTGTTAGTAGCTCAAAATTTCTACCGTTAGACACAATGACCGATTCCCTTCTTGAATTCTACGCATCTCTAAGAGTGAGAGACATCCTTGTAAATTTATATATAATACTTTCTAATTAAAATATAATTTTCTTTATGAATTCGTAAGAAAAAAAAAAGTAATATATTTTCACTAAAAAATATTACACGAGATGTTTTACATTAGGCAATTTCACATTAGACTTACTCATTTATATATTATTAAATAATTAAATCATCATTACATTTTAATATTTCCAGTATGATTAAACTACCCTATTTGCCTATTTATAGGCAGATAGGGTTGCCACTTGCCTAGCAATTATTAATTAATTGGCTTTTACTTGCATTATTGTAAATTCAAATATCCAATTATACAAAAAGAACTAATTAGGCTTCAGTTTAGTGAGAAACCATGTCACAATTTCATGAAAACTTTTGATGACTCGTTGATGTAGCCGCTGATTGATCCCAAGTAAAATAACATATAATTATATAAAAATCCCATTTTACTATTAAATTAATCTTTTTTTTTGAACGAAAAAGAACCATCTTCATTAATGACTTAACAAATTCGAGATACAAGCAGGTGGGATATCAGTCCACACCCTAGAATCAGCTGTAGAATCGGTTGCCCGAGCAAGTTCGTGAGCCACGCAATTCGCTGATCTCTTGACATGGAAAACACTGACGTTCCCAATGTCTTTAGCAATCGACACGCATTGCTTTACAATTAAACCAACATAAGAAAAATCTGAAATACAAGAATTAAAAGCCTTGCAAAAATTTAAACAATCTGATTCAAATATAATGTTCCGTTCTGGTCGAGTTTTCAGCCAAGACAAAGCCTCTTTAGCAGCTAGAGTCTCAGCCACGTATGGGTCCTTCATCCCATTCAGCTTTCCACTTCGTGCTGCAACAAAACGTCTATCATGATCGCGTAACACAGCTCCATAATGTGCATCGTTCCCAGATAAGGCCGCGTCAACATTACATTTTATAAAATTCCTTGGCGGAGGGGACCAATCTGTAGCTTGGCGCTGATCATTAATCCTCGTTTTTGAATGAATATATGCGTCCTTCCAAGTTGCCTGTAACCTCTCCATAAGCATACGCAATGTACCCACTGACGGAGGATTGTTTTGCCACAGCCTCGTTACGCGCTTGCCAAATAATCCAAAATCCAGCAGCTAGCTTCACTGCATCCTCCTGAGTCGAATGTCCAATTTAATTAACCTTAATTTTGTGAAAAAAATTAAATAAATATATACAGAGAGAAAAAGAAAACAAGTAGATGTCTCCATTATAACATTATTATAAAGAATGAATAAATAATTATTCCTTTCTTCTTCTTCTTCTTCTTTTTTGCCTTTTGTCCAAACTAGCATGTCACCCGGTCTATAAATTTGTTTAAGTTAATAATAGAAAAGTAAAATTTTTTAAATTAGATTATGTATATTGTAATATGAGATGTTATTAAGAAATAATAGTTTTTAATATATATATATATATATATATATATATATATATATATATATATTATTTATTACAAAGCACCGCAATAATGAAGACGGGGAATAATTAATAGAAATATTGTAATTATAGATTATTAAAAACTTTGTTGTAAACAACATTATTTGTGGAACACTCTAATAACATGATTTTGATTTTGATTTGATGACGACCCATTGTTTTGCAACAGATTTGTAATCTCTCGTTGATCTAAAAATTAATTTTCTACAAATATGAAGAAAGTGATTCTAATTAATATGAATTATAAAAGTAAATAAAACAATATATATAGTTATATAACACGGTGAGAGCACGTGTAATGCACAATTTTATATAAAATTAAAGAGGGCGTGAAGGCTCTAGAAGCCGCTTCATCCTTCGATCAGTTCATCTCTCCTCTCACCGTTGCGACAACGCCGCTACTCTCTCTTTTCTCTCTATTACCGTCTATCCTTGATCAATTACTACCTGTCCAAACAACCATAATGTGGAGCAATTTCTCAACATAAGCAACTTTCTTAGTTCATCCGAATAAAGGTATGAAGTTTGTTCGTGTGATTTCTCATATTAGGGTTAGGGTTTAAGTCTAACATCTGTGTTCATCATCTCAATGTTTTAGATCGTTTTTTTTTTCATTATTTAGTATTTTATTCTTTGTTTCAGAGTGCATTCGCTTGTGCTATCATTCGCTAAAATTACTAATCTTGTATATTTTTTTTTTATTCTTTTTTGTGTGCGAGGATGAACTTGGTGTAATGATTGCTTTGGTAAATCCACATGTCATCGTAGTATTTTAACAATGTTGTATTAGCCATTTAGCCTGAACTTCTTTTGACATATCGAATGAGTTCTGTTCACTAATTATGTATGAGCACTAAAATTTTAGCAGATTTCTCTATTCTTGAGTTGTTGTTTTACCAAAATAGATTCAGGTTTTAAATATTTTTTGTCTACTTTAGCTTGTTAAATGTCAAATTAGAATTATCATTTTAATTCTGTAACTCCACCTTTAACCATTTTTTTATAGTTTTATCATCAAAATATTTTTCCTTGTTTTTAATTTTGAATAATTTTAATAGCTCAGGAATTTGATAATCTACTTATATCATCAACTACTTATTTGATACAAACAATTTCAGCAGATGTGCTAGTCCAATGTTGCCTTGTAGTAGTTTATCATGGTTCTACTTAATCAATTTTTATAATATGGTTGGTTTACTTAAGGTGCTACTGTTTTAAACTTATATGATTACACATACTAAACTTATATTATATATTATTTGTCATGCTTCAGGTGTGTGCTATGTCAACAAAAAATGAATAAGTTTTATGAGTTACAATCTCACACTTTGTTAGTTAACATCGTAGACAGTAGGTTATGCTATTTTTTAAAGATGTTCTTAACTTAAATGCAAATTTGCAAAGCAGCATGTGTTGCATTCAATTTAAGTATCATACTATAGTGTATTTACTTGATTTTGGATTTTATCATACAGGTTGGCTATTTTTTCTGCTGTGAAGTGGATAATGGTGAAGGCAAACAACTTAATAGAAGGTACTATGCTGTTTGGAATTCAATAGTTGTAAGTTATAAGATCTACTTGCTAGGTAGTGTTAATATAGTTTGTACTTCATCTAATTAATTACCAATTTTGTAGGTTTAAACTCATCTCAATAATCGAAGATAATTAGAAAGTGTCTTCTCTTAGGCAGGTATTATTCTGACTAAGTAGTTATTATCATTTTAATTTTTAATAGTTTCTTTATTGTAATATCAGTTTGACTTAATGAAATTATTTTCAAAATTTGCAGGATTCAACTCATTTCACAACTTAAGTAGAGTTGAAGGTGTCCTAAACAGATTTCATTAAATTGTGAAATGTGGAATGTCCTTAAATCTACCAAAAAGGTACAATGCTCTTATTGAATAATTTATTTATCTAGATTGTCAAGAGCAATTAATTAGCAGTAGTTACACATTGTCTCTGCATAGTAATCCTATGTAGAATCTGTACACATGATGTCTTTTCAGCATGTTTCTTGAATCTTTGTTTATTCCATTGCCTCACCATCCTTCTTGAGATTGTACCTGAAGAAAAAATTAAGAAAACTGCAAAATAGATAATATAAAACTGTCACATAGAAACCAATAGTTCAAACTTAGACATAATTGGCACTTAGGCCAAAATCACAGTCCAAAATAATGATTCAGATGTCAAACAGGGCAAAAGACAGTTCTGAATATTGTTTCACATCCCAACAGAACCAAAACATTTTTTCAAAAACCAAACTACTCTAGGTCACATGTTATTTTTTCCAGATTCACAGTCACTTGTTTATTCTTTTTTGAGCTTTGTGTGGATGATAATTCATCCAGGAGACACCTTTGGACTGAACCACTTCCATCACCACTCAATTCCTTCACTGGCTTCAAAGCAGGACTTTCAGCCTCGTCATCATCCTCATTGAAGAATCCTTGCATATATAATGTTCAAACTTAGATTCCGGTTAAGAAAACCACAATGATTATAGTTTAGAATTATATTAAGTTAAGAACCTTACCTCATCAATGTAAGTGAACTGAGAAAGTTGCATGCTTGGTTTTGAATTTTTCTAAAAGTGAACTTTAGAAACTCACTTGGGTTTGAATTTTTCTACTATTATGGTCATACTTTATTCTTGATGATTTCAGATACCAATAGCATTGAGAAACAGGTTACTTGGTATGCTGTTCAAATCCCATAAAAAAGATTTCTAACTGTTGGCATTGAAGCAGGTTGCATGGTAAGCATGACATGGTATGCTGTTTAAACCCTAAAAAATGGTTTCTAACAGTTTGCAATGCATGTGTCTATACTAAGCTTTGCCTCTATCAGTCCCTCTCCCCAAAACAAATGAGAAACACAAACAAACTTCATGAGACAGAGCAGGGTTTAAAATGATAGAAAGAGAAATATCACATTTGTTTCTTGAACGGCTTCATGAGACAGAGCAGCTACACTGCAAATGTGGGGTTTCACCATGTATGCAATATGGACTATTTATAGGTAGTTTCCCTCCAACATTTAGTTTCAAAATTATGTACTTCTTGAACACCATGCTTGCTTGCTTCTGTTGTAAGTAAGTTTGGGAAACCAATGTATCTGATGTACCTCTCAACCAATGTATATTTTTATCAGTTAAATATATCTTTGTCAGACTAAAGCAATATATGAGCAAGAAAAGCTACAGACAATGTCAAATCAAATCAAATAAAATATTTTTTAAAGGCAATAATTTCTAATAAAAAAATCGAAAAGGAAAAAAACCTCCAAAGTTTTGAGCGGGAACTTACACCAAAAATTATTTGGCTTTATTATAGTTAGGATGATAATGTATTATTTATTTTAGAAAAATCGTGATGAGTGAATGTGACTTCTCTGCTGTCAAATAACTTTTACTTCGAGTCATTTTCAAAAGAAATCATATAACTTTTTCATAATATATATATAGGTTCACACTCCTGTGCGAATAAGTGGCCAGGAAGAAAATGCGAATAGGTTAAAACTATTTACGTGTTTAGATCAACGAATCAGGTGTACTTTTTAAAAAACGATGCGATGACATTTTTGTAAATAACTCGAACTTTGGTGCATGTAAATGTGTTATATGTGCAAGTAGTTGGTGCACCTTTGCAAGGAAAAATTGCAGGTAAAATTACTTACATGTGCACCTACTTTCACCTATAAGTGCATGTAATTTTGCCTTGTTAACATTCATTGATATGAGTTCGTTCTGTTTGGCATCGCTTTTGTTCTTGCGGGGAGTTCAACGGGTAGTTAGTACCCGTGAAATCACCCGCAAACATTCTTGCACATGGGTGCAACTACTTATAACTATATGTGCACCTAGTTATAACGTCAGGTGCACTTAGTTTTAATGATCAGTGTAAATTTTACTTGCACCTATAATATATTATACATGCACTTGTAATACATTTTACTTGCACTTAGGTGCACTGTATGAAACTGCAACTTGCACCTGTAGTACATTTTACTTGCACTTCGATGTCCAATTATTTACGAAAATGTCACCGTATTTTTTTTTAAAAAAAATCAATGTTTCTCATCCATTAGATCTGGACACGTGGACGGGCAGTAGTCATTCCTTGATGGGATAAGGACCCCGGCCCAAGAGATAGGGGCCCAAAGGAAATGGTTCAAGACAGGAGAAGTGGGCCAGCGTCTGAGGAGCCCGAAGAGCAAGTGGGCCGAGTCCTGGAGTCGGCCCAGGCCCAGGCACGGGGCCCGGATCAGAACTGCTAAAGAGGAGCCCAGTGGGAGCTCAGGCTAAGACGAGGAATCGACCAAGGCCCAAGCCTAGGAGAAGACTCGGTTCAAGGAGCCGTTGAGAGCATTGAGGAGGCTTGTTTAAAAGGGAGCCGTTAGGGCATTGAAAGCAGGACCCGGTCAGGCTGTTACAAACCTGGAAGAGCCGTTGGTCGACCAAGTAATGGCGTCCAACGGCTCCATATCTTAATTTGTCTTGAAGTCGGTCATTAAGGGCCTTCAAGTCGGTAGAGGAGGAGCCGCTATATAAAGGCTCCTCCATTCTT